TTTGGACATACAAATTTTAAATATTTATGTATGTTGTTTCCTGCTTTGAGTAATGCTTGTGTTGGTGGTAAACTTGATTGCGTTATCTGTTCCCTATCAAAACATGTTAGGGCCAATTATATTTCTCGCATGCACCAGTCACCCAAGCCATTTGACCTAATACACTCTGATATTTGGGGACCCTCTCCCGTTACTGCTCTGTCAGGTGCCAGATATTATGTGACATTTATAGATGATCATACCCGTTGTACTTGGGTCTACCTTTTGCATAGGAAGTCTGATGTGCTCCCTATAATCACTCAGTTTTTACAGATGATTAAGACACAATTCGATGTCATTGTTCGTGCTCTTCGTTCGGATAATGCCAAAGAATATGTGTCTGATGCTTTAGTGTCTCACCTTTCTTCTCAAGGTATCCTTCAGCAACTCACTTGTCCATATACTCCTGAGCAAAATGGTGTTGCTGAGAGGAAAAATAGGAGTTTGATAGGGATGGTACGTTGTCTGCTTAGAGGCATGAGGGTACCAAAATCTTAATGGCATTTTGCTGTTTTGACTTCTACCTTTCTGTGCAATCGTACGCCGAGTCGTGTTCTTCAGCATAAGGCTCCCTTACAGGTCTTATTTCCTGAGCGGACACTTTTTCCGGTTCTCCCTCGTGTTTTTGGATGCACATGTTTTGTTCAGGATCGGTCTCCTACTCATCATAAACTTGATGATAAAGCGATTCGTTGTATCTTTGTGGGCTATTGTCATCAATCTAAGGGGTATCGATGTTATGATCCTATTAGGCGTCGTATGTATCACAGTCTAGATGTTACCTTTCTTGAGCATATTCCTTATTTTCCTTTCAGTCCTTTGTCTGCCCCTCCAGTTGATGATACTCCTTTTGATTTTCCATTACCACAAGAGTCAGAGTCATTGATCACTATCCCTACAGGGTCATCCGTTTTTCCTCCAAAGGAGTTACTCATCCCTGTCAGTACAGAGTTACCAGTCTCTCTTCCTTTGCAGGTGTATGCTCGTTGTCCTCGCTCTCATCACCCTACTGATATCCCCTCTACCTCAGGCGATGCAGGTAATACTTCTCAGTTTGTTGAGCATATTGATGCACCTGTTGTTAGTACTGATGAGATTACAGGTGCTGAGCCAGTTACTTTACCTGATAAGATATTATCAGTAGAGGATGATGATTTAGGGCGTCGTTATCCAAGGCGTGATCGTCGTCCAGTTGATCGATATGGTTGGACCGCCAAGATTTTATATCCGATCTCTGCTTATGTTTCTTATGGTAATCTGTCTCCCACATTTCGAGCTTATACTATGGCCTTATCAGATACGCTGGTTCCTCGCTCTATTTCGGAAGCTATGCGGGAGCCCCAGTGGGTTCTTGCCATGCAGACAGAGATGGACGCTCTTCAGCGTAATCATACATGGGATCTTGTCTCCTTACCTTCAGGGGTGAAGCCTGTTGGCTGTCGCTGGGTTTACACCCTGAAGTTTCTTGCGGATGGTACTATTGATTGTTACAAGGCTAGACTTGTGGCGAAGGGCTTTACTCAGGTACCAGGTCGTGATTTTGGTGCTACATTTGCCCCCGTGGCAAAATTGACTACTGTTCGGTTAATTATCTCTCTGGCTGCGGAGTACTCTTGGCCTCTTCATCAATTAGATGTGAAGAATGCGTTTCTTCATGGTGATCTGGACGAGATTATTTATATGGATGTACCACCAGGCTTTCGTGGTGAGGGGGAGTATGCTGAAAAGGTATGTCGACTGCGTAAGTCTCTTTATGGACTGAAACAGTCGCCACGAGCCTAGTTCTCTCGCTTCAGTGATGTAGTCATACGATTGGGGTTCACCAGGTGTCATTCTGATCATACCTGCTTTATTCGACGGAATACTTCTGGACAGTGTGTCATCCTTCTGGTATATGTTGATGATATTATTATTACTGGTGATGATGTTTCTGGGACTGCGCAGGTCAAGATAGACCTTGGGAAGGCCTTCGATGTGAAGGATCTTGGATTTCTGTGATACTTTCTTGGGATTGAGGTTGCCCGTAGAAGCAGAGGTATTGTTCTTTCTCAGAGAAAGTATGTTTTGGATCTTCTTTCAGACACTGGGATGTTGGGGTGCAAACCGGCATCATCACCTATGATTCCAAACCTGAAGCTTACTGCTGAAGGTGAGGAGTTGAAAGATCCGACAGTTTATCAAAGATTGGTAGGTAGACTTATCTACTTAGCCAATACTAGGCCAGACATTTCATTTGCAGTCAGCCGAGTTAGTCAGTTCATGCATAGGCCATGTCAGCCTCATCTTGATGCAGTTTATCATATTCTTCGGTACCTCAAGTCTTGTCCTGGACTTGGGTTGTTTTATGCATCAGGATCTCAGACCGGTTCTCTAGCCTGTTATTCAGATTCAGATTATGGGGGAGCATGTGATGGTCGATCTACTACGGGTTTCTGTGCTTTTCAAGGGACTCATCTTATCTCTTGGAAGAGCAAGAAGCAGGCAGTTGTCTCCCGCTCGTCCGCAGAGGCAGAGTATCGGGCACTGGCACTTGGCACATGTGAGATTATCTGGCTACGATCAATTCTTGACGAGTTGGGTTTTTCAGTGACCTCTCCATCCACATTATATTGTGATAATCAATCTGCTATTCAGCTCGCTTCTGACTCTGTACTACATGAGAGAACGAAGCATATAGAGATCGATGTTCACTTTCTTCGGGAGAAGGTCAGCAGTGGTCTTGTTACTCCATCGTTTGTGAGGACCAGTGATCAAGTTGCGGATGTTTTTACCAAACCTGTCTCTCTGTCTATTCTTCGGGACTCCGTTGTCAAGCTTGGCTTAGTTGACATTTTTGTGCCTAGCTTGAGGGGGAGTGTTGGAGTATAGATAGTCTAGATTTATTAGGATTTCTTTTCCCTTTTGTACCCTTACTATGATTTTTATATTTTGCCTAAACTACAAGGATGTTTAAGTCACTCTGTATTATTTTTGGATATATATACGGGGTTCTACTCTTACTTTGAGTATCCCTTTTCATTCACAACTATCTCAAGTATTACTGAGGATATTCTACCCACATTTCCTATCCTTTACCCAAAGCTCAGTATTGAATGACTTTGAAGAGAGATCTGATAGAGATTCAGCACTAAGGACGCCAAATTTTGTCCCGAAAAAAGGTAATGGAAACTTGATTTAATAGAGGACTAGATCGATGTTGTGACAAACAATTTTGTGGATTTACGCTAGAAGCAACAAGTATCTTTGTGGGTTTTCCAAGCTAACCTAGAAGAGGAACTTGAAAAACTATAGAAGGAAAAAGCCTATACTTTCAAAAAGAGGTAATTAAAACTTAATTTAATTCAGAGATAGGTTGTATTGCTGCTCGGGACTTGGTCAAGTGTTAATTTGTCCTTTTTATCCAAATTTGTTTTTGTTTCATTTGTGCTTAACAGTTTTAATTTTAATTCTAAGTATGCTGTGCTTAAATTATTTTCCTTTTCAATGTGATGGTATGCCATTCTATTGTATGATTTATAAGCTTGTATCTTGATCAAAATTTTATGACTATAGAGTAAAAGATTTCTAACTTAAAAAAGAAGAAGGTAATATTAGCATAATGATTGGTTATATAAGTTAGAAGTTCTGCATGTATATGCAGTACTTATCACCACCACTCCCTTTTTAAACCGACGAAATTTAGGGAGGTCCTTTTCATGTTTAGTTTCAACCTAATGTCTTGAACCTTACAGACTGAGGTTAGAGAAGAAAATTAATTAGTTGGTTGTGAAGTAGACATCAAAAAAATTTCTCTTCGTGTCTTCGAGAAGTTTTGATCAATCTCCAACCAAACGAAAAGGCATTTGTAGTAGATGTAGTGCTATTGTTGGAACTTTATTTGGACATGCTTCCTATTTTCTTGGTTGTTTAGATTAATTCCATTCTAAGTTTTTGATTCCGCTGTTAGGTTCTTGTTCAAATGTAAGAACTTGGTACACTGTTCATTCAATTTCCCGGTTGTTTGCTTGCTAAAAGTGATGCACATGTGTCATAGTCTGACAAGCGTGCGTATCGTGAATGCTATATTTAAGGTTAGTTTCTTTACTAACATTGTCTATTTGAGTTAGTTTGAATTATCTAATGTCAGATGTAGTGATTTGTTTTGCATCCATATGTACTATTATGTATTGTCGAAGGGATTTCACTAAACTCTTATTGGCAAATGTACCTCTGGGAAACCTTCTCTGGGAGTGATGTCGATGGCTTCCTAAGGGTGAGTTTATAGTGGGGATTCTTGATCCTAGGCATGTCCTCATCAGATTTAGTCCGTTTGAAGATTATATTAAAACTTGGCTAAAGGAAGGATATTTGTTTCAATTCTTCAAATGGTTTCTGAATTCCAACCAGGTGTGGAACCTCATATGGTGCCTATTTGGATTTCTTTGCCTCAGTTGCCAATCCATTTGTTTAATCATGATAGTCTGAGGGATATATTGAGTCCAATTGGACGGATTCTTGTGATTGATAATACTACTTTGCAGTTGACAAGGATAATCCAAAGTGCTTTTGGTCGGATATGGGAGGGTTGAGTGGAAGATGGCAGAGAATTCTATATGAGTAGGAGTGCAAATACTATGCGATTTGTTTAAAATAGGGACATCATGACTCGTCTTGTACAAAGAAAAAAGAAAGAAGATTGAGAATCGAAGGAAGGAAAGGTGATTGTTTCTACGTCAAATAAAAATCAAGAGTTGGGTAAGAATGTGGATAAGGGGAAGGATAATGAGAATGATTGCAAGACTATGAAAGGAAAAGGGGTGATGCAAAGGAACCACTGAAGTGATCCAAACAAGGAGTTAAGGCAAAAATCAGATGGTGTTCCATCTAAAGTGTTTACGAATAATAAGGAAGGAAATATGGTTTTTGTTTAGAAAGAGAAAGGTGTGGTGCTGAAGAAAGGGGATCACTCTAGGAAGGACTTGATGTCTGGGCCAATAGAGGTCTCTTTCGTTGAAGTTTGTTCAGCTTCTGGAAAGGCTATCCAAAAGGTGAATGCTCAGACCGTGGAGGTTGCAGAGGTGGTAGTTTTAGATAGTGATAAGGCTGTTGAGAAGGAGGCGGAGCAGGTGATTCAAGAATCTAAAAGGGGCTAAGGTGGGGAAGATTTGGTGAACACCTTAGTCACTACAAGAATGGAAGATCCTTTGGTCTGTTATTTGAATAAACAGTGGTATCCATCATTGGAGTCCATTTTTTGGGTTGATCATCAATTTGTTAATAAAGGAAGATGTGAATTTTCTTTGGATGATGACAAGGGTCTAATTGCTAGAAAAATTCCTGTTGATAAAGGTTATCATTCTGATAATGAGAGCTTGATAAGCTCTGAGAAGATTGTTGCGGATATGGAGGATTCTAAACTGAAGTCGTCTCCAAATATTCCTCTTATTGCAGTGATCTCTCCACCTTCTGTGACTAGAACTCCTTCTAGAGGTAATTTTGTGCCTCATCCTAATGATTAATATACTTTCCTGGAATATGAAGGGGCCAGGTAAAGCTGTCCAAAGAAGGAGATTAAAGAAATTAGTTAAGATACACGATGATAGTCTGGTTGCAATTCAAGAGCAACAGATGAGTGCTTCTAAGCTTTCAGATTTTGCTAGAAGTCTCAGTCTTGGTTTTTATTGTTCAAATGAGTTTGCAGAAACGAATATTTGGGTTTTTTGGGATCATAGAATGAGGGTGAGGGTTGTTAAGTGTCATGAACAGGTTTTAACTGTTGAAGCATCTTTTTTGGCATCAGAGGTGTTTTGGATTTCTGTTGTGTACGCCAATTGTGACCATATACTTAGAAGGCCTTTATGGCAGCATTTATTGGACCACATTGCTCCAAATTATATGCCCTGGATGGTACTAGGTGATTTTAATGCTATTTTGAATTCTACAAACCAGTTAGGAGGTGTTGTTCCTTCTATTCGTGCTATGGAAGAGTTTAAGGATTTCATTGATGGATATGGTCTAATTGGCTGTAGTTTTACTGGAAGTAGGTTTAATTGGTGCAATAATCATCAAGGTAATTCTAGAATGTGGCAGAGGTTGGATAAGGTCCTTGTGAATTCTGTGTGGAGTTTAAAATTTGAAAGCTCTAAGGTTGTGCGTATGGCTAGGGGCAGGTCTGACCATTGTCCTTTGTTGGTCAAGGTTTTGGATGTTTCTATACAGCAGAGAATTTCGTATTTCAGATTCCAAGATATGTGGGTTGAGCATCCCTTTTTTTTGGCATTTGTTTCTTCTAAGTGGGGTGGTTTTTATTCAGTAAAAATTGAAAATGTTTTTTTGAAATTGAAATATTTTAAATGGCATTTGAAGGTCTGGAATAAGGAGGTGTTTGGTAACATTTTTTATTAGATTAAGAGCACAAGAAATTGCTTTGCAGAGCTGAGGTGATGATGGAGCAGGATGGTTCTGTTGAAAATCTATCGATTTTGGAGGAGACTAAAAAGGGCTATGATGATATTTTGAGATTAGAAGAGATTTTTGGAAATGAAAAGCTAATGTGAGATGGGCAACAGAAGGAGAAAGGAACACTAAGTTTTCCCATTCTTTGGCTAAGAGTAATGCTATTAGGAACAAGATTAGGAGGATTAAGGATGATAATGGTGACTGGGTTGTTCATAATGAAAGTGAGATTGCAGAATTGGCAGTTGGTTCATTTTCTAAGCTTTATATGTCTGCGTCCCATTCTTTAAGTGAGGATTTGTTTGCAGTCATTCCAAAGCTGGTGAGTGATGCTGAGAATGAGAGGTTGATTGCTGATGCTAATATGGAAGAGGTAAGATCTGTGATCTTTTCAATGGAAGTAGAAAGTGCTCCTGGGGCTGATGGACTGTCTGGAAAGTTTTTCAAGTTGTGTGGGATGTTCTTAAGTTGGATATATTAGCTGCTGTCAATTTTTTCTGAGGGGAGGTGTAGTGCCTAGGGCTGTGAATGCAACACTACTTGCTTTAATTCCTGAAGTCAGTTGTCCTTCTACATTTGCTGAGTATAGACCTATTAGTTTGTGCAACTTTCTTTATAAGATTTTTACAAAGTTGCTCAACAATAGGTTAAATTCTTTGCTTCCTTCTTTAGTGTCAAAGGAGCAGCATGGTTTTGTGCAAGGGAGGAATATTTGGGGGAGTGTATCTCTTTGACTCAATTAATGGTGGGAGAGTTAGACAGGAAAGTGGAAGCTGGGAAAGTAATTCTAAAGCTAGATATGATGAAGGCCTACCACCTATGATATGATGAAGAAAGTACTTTCTGCATTTGGTTTCTCAAGTAGGTTTGTTTCAGTTATTGCAAAATGTCTGTGTAACCAATATATTTCTGTGTGTTTCAATGGGCAGAGGTATGGATTTTTTCCTACATCTAGGGGCTTAAGACAATGGGATCCAATTTCCCCTAGTCTTTTTATATTGGCTGAGGAGGTATTGAGTAGAGGATTGAGAAGGATTTATGAGATTGGATTGGTGAGGCCTTTTTGGTAATGAGTCATTTGCTTTTTGCTGATGACACCTTGTTATTCTTAAAGGGAAGCAAGAAGTCTATGGAGAATCTAATGGAGCGTATTGGTAGCTATAAAAAGTGTTCTGGTCAAAGGTGATAAGCAGAAGAGTTTAGAAGAGTTCTCTGATATCCTCTAGCAGGATTTCCTCTGCTAGAAGGCAGGTTTTGGTTTCTGTTGCAAATATCTGCATTAAGGATTGTCCTTTTACTTTCCTAGGCTGTCCTTTAATTAAAGGGAGAGTGAGACTTATGTACATTGAGGATTTGCTTAAGTTTAGGGCTAGGATTGAGGGGTGGTATGCTAAGCTGCTGTCCAACATAAGGAGAGTGGTTTTAATTCAATCTGTTTTGCATTCAACGTCAATTCATTTGCTGGCCTGTATGAATCTCCCTAAAGGTATTATGGTGAAGCTGAGTTCTTTAATGTCTTCTTTTCTTTGGTCTAGTAAGCCTGAGGTGAGGAGGCATTTGGTTTCTTGGAAGAATGTATGCGTGCCTAAATCAGAAGGTGGTCTTGGATTAAGGAGGGTGGAGGATGTTCAGTGTGCTCTTAGAATGAAGCAAGTCTGGGGAATTTTGACTTTGGGCTAAGGTGTTTTCTTCTAAATTTCTAAGTAATCATCACTTGTTGAGAAGTTCTTTGAGGGCTTCTAGGTGTTTTAGAAATTTATATCCTTGGTTTGAGGAGGTGGTGGTCCATTCTCAGATAATTTTTAGAAATGGGGTAGGCACTGATTTCTGGTGTGATAATTGGCTTGGATCTGGTCCATTATTGAGAAGAGTGGATAGTGCCCCTCAGGTGTCAGAATTGTGTCTGTGTTCTGGTTGGCAGCTTCTGTGTGTGGCATAATGATTGAGTTCTGAGTTGATGGATGAGATTCTGGAGTTTGGTATTTCTTTGACAGTTGAACCATATAGGTTGGTTTGGATGGACTCTGTCACTGGTCTATTCTCTGTTAAGGCAGCTTGGCATTTGGTCAGGCATAAGGAGGTGCAGAATGAGACTATTTCTGCTATCTGGAAGCAGAAGATGTCTCCTAGTGCCCAATTGGTTTCTTGGAAAATTTCAAGAATGCTTTATCACTGGACTCTTGTGTTCAAAGCTTAGGTGTTCCACTAGTGAGCAGGTGTAGTTTGTGTTTTCAAGGTATGAAAATCCTTATCATCTTTTTATTGATTGCTCCTTTTCTCAAGCTATATGGAGAAGGTTAGCTGCAGTAATGGGGTTTCAACTTATTCTTAATGAGTCTCCTATGGTAAGGTTTATGAGGCTTATTAGAATTTTCAAGGAGCAGTCATTAAGTAGTGAATTGGTAAGGGCCACTTACTAAGGGGTGTTTCCTTATTGGTGTTTTTGGTTTATTTGGAAGGAAAGGTGTAGGAGGTATGAGGGGTGTAAATTGACTTCATATGCTGTTTTTATGCAAATTTTGTCTTCCCTTGGATATCAGACTTATTGTTTAAAACCTAAGAGGATTGATGGATTGAGAGGAAAGGATATGCTGCAGGCTATGATGGTGCAGGTGTCTTATAGGGTGATAACTAAGGCTGTTTGGGTTTTCTGGACACCCCCTCCAGTTGGGGTGCTCAAAATGAATGTGGGTGGGGCTTCTAAGGGTAACCCTGGGCTGTCTGGAGGATGGGTAGCGATGAGGAATCCTGATGGGCATTTGGTGTTGGCTGCTGCCTATTTCTATGGTATGGGCTCAAAAATGAGAGCTGAATGTTTAGCTCTTTTGGATGGTTTAAAGTTGATAAGGAGGTATAGTCTTGGGAATATAAGGTGCTTATTGAATCTGATTCTCAAATGTTGGTGAAAACGGTGTTGGGGAAGGTTAAGGTTTCCTGGAAACTATGGGGTTTGATGTCTCAGATATTTTTTTCTGTTAATGAGGATGGAGGTCCAGATTTCTCATGTTTATAGGAAAGCCAATTGTGTGGCAGACTTCCTTGCTAATCAGGCTGTTCAGGTGAGAGGTTCTACTGATTTTACTGAGTCAGGTTTTCTTCCTGGTTCAGGAAAGCTGTTGGTGATGCAGGACCAGTGTAAGCTGCCAGTGCTGATAGCTAAAAATTCATTCATTCTTTCTATTTGATTCTTGTAAATAGTTGTCTGATTACTTTAAAGGCAGTTATTTGTTTGTTTGCTTGTTGTAATTTTGTGTTATTGGAATAAAATTTTCTACTTTCTTCAAAAAAAAAAATTATGAAACTACATCATTAGGTCAACAAAATATATCAGATTTTTAAATCTAAATAGTATTACTCATATTGTAAAAGCAATGCTATTAAAAACTAATTTGCTAACTTAATTTATTATGACCTTTGAATTGACTGTAGGCTTCATTAAACATTGGAACTTGGTGTTGATTTAATAGTTTCAATGAAATTATATCATTAGGTTAGATTTTTAGGTATAAATAGCATTACTCATATTGTAAGAGCAATGTTGTTGGGACCTAATTTGCTGACTTAATTCATTATGATATTTGGATTGACCGTAGACTCCATCAAACATTAGAACTTGGTGTTGATCTAATAGTTTCAATGAAACCATATAATTACGTCAAAAAATTATGTCAGATTTTTAAGTCTAAATAATATTACTTATATTGTAAGAGCAATGCTATTGAAATTTAATTTGGTAACTTAATTTATTATGACTTTTAAATTAATTATATGTTTCATCAAATATTGAAACTGTATGTTGATATAATAGTTTCAATGAAACCACGACACTCTCTAACCCGCTTGGGGGGTTTGGATTTGCTTTTTTATATTTTTTATTTATAGAAAAATTTCAGCTGGCTGTGATTAGCTCTGGGACAACCCCAAAGGGAGTTGCCATTTTGGGGTGTCAAATCATTCATTTGCAACCTTGAACAATGTTTTGGCACCCCTGAATTATTAATATACTCTAATGGCAAGTGCCAAATGGGGTGTCATTTTTATATTTTTATTCATCAATTTATAT